ACCCCCTCCAGAGCTACTTACTGAAATAGAAGCCGCGATCCCCGCAGACAAACTGGAGGGTGTCAACCAGCTCCCCGCCACACAAGGTCTCGCTGGGGCGGTAAGCAGCGATGCAGCACGAGGCAAAGGCCAAAGAGATAAGAAGCACCAGCATCGACTTCCCCATTGGGATCCCCATTGGTATCTGCGGGGGCAAGAGACAAACAGGCTTTGAGTTGGGGGCCCCAGGCCACGCCCCTGGCATTGGACGCCTTTTCCCACCAGAGGCACCCAAGCATCTCTTAATTGAAATGCGAAATGCGGCTTTCTCAATTAGCAATATTGATTTGAAACGGCGAAAAATGACACACATGTGCTTGAATTGCTGAGTACACGGGGCCACTTTGTAGAGAAACCCGTGGGGCTGAGAAGGGCACCCAGCAGTGACTGAACTGTAAGAAATGCCATTAGTTTCACGCAAGGACCACCAACTTTTGGGTAGAGTTGCAGCTTGGCCACACCCACATGGAGCAGCAGGGGCCAGCGCTGGACACTGGACCTGGTTTCCATGCTATGACATCACGGGGGTGGGGCCAGTCTAAGGGTTCCTCATTCTTGCCACCCCCACTCTGGCCTCCCGAGCATTGGCCAAGATGGCACATAGCTCAACCCCACCCGCAGTGGTGCATGTGCATCCAAAGGGACCATCCCTCCATCCTCCTCTCTCCCCAGCTGAGCAGGGGGGTCCAGGAAGGCCGCCCCTCCCCAAGCATCAGAGCCAGCCCCTCCCTTCCCCCTCCCCTCCCCTAGTCCATGCTGGTCAGAGCCCAGGTCAAGGGTCCAGTGGCTAGCGCAATGGGGTTGCCTATGCTTTTTAGAGCCTTGCTCTCCAGGGTCACCCAGTCCTCTAAGTCCAGTCTGCTCTGGGCACCCCCAAACTCACAAAAAGCCCAAAGTACCCATTCCAGGCCTCAACCCATACCCCTCATGGTTAGGGACCCTACAGAGTCCCTCTGTGACCCACCAAATCATCTTCCAGTTGGGAAACAAGACTCTACTTAGGGAGCTGGGAAGCAGGCCCAGCCATGGGAAGGGAGACTGGACACCCCATCCCTCTGGGCCCAATCTGGAGGGACACACCCCCTTCACGGGTCGTGTGGCCACAGGCTGAGGCAAGGGTTAGCTAGCTTCTTTAGTGATGGGAGGCCACCGCACACAGCAAGCCGCCCTTGACCCTGAAGAAAGATGAGCCCTCCAGGCCGCACACCCAGCCTCCGCTCCACAGGCCCAGAGGATTTCTTGCTGCAATAAATCATGTGAGAGACCAGCCCGGAAAAATCAAGAAACCATCTTGTTCAAGCTCCCTTGGGTGACTAAAAGTCACCTTTGCCCACCTCCTGAAGGGGACCCTGCCCGGCCTTCCCAACGCCTTCTGTGCCAACCACCACCAGTCCGCCACGGTAGCCATCAGTCCCAGGGGAAGTTCCGTCTGCTGCCCTCGAAGTCCCTTCCCCAAGCCTGACCACTCTGGCTCTAGGTGGCCAGCAGCAGCAAGCAGGCACTGACCAGGAGGATGTGGAGGTAAGGGATGGGTGAGGGGAAGGACCCAAAGTTGCTGGAGGGGGCAGGCTGAGGCGAAGGGAAAGAGAAAGCCAGGGGCTCAGTGAGAGCAGAGGACAGGGGCCCAGGGAGGACGAAGGCTTGTGAGAGGCAGCAGGCCCTGCTGCAAGGACAGAGGCCCGAGGCTAGCCGGAGCCCTGACCGCCGCACTGGGCAGGCCGGAGCAGGACGGCAGCAGGTCTTGGCTCCAGGGCCCTGGTTACCTGCAGGGTTACAAGGAGACCGCTGGGGCTGGAAGAGGAGGAAGAGGCTGGAAGTCTCTCACAGGAGAAGCCAATGTCCAGTTTGCGAGCTGGTCAGTGCCTCAGCTTTTATGTCTGAGCCGGCTCCGCCCA